CTTTTCCTGCAAAAGCCTTTGAAAGAAAGATAAAAGAAGGAAGTCTAGAACCAAACGGTTTTGTGGGGGTTTTGGTGGTGTGTTTAAAATGTAAAAACGAAATCTAAAAAGAAACTACGGGAATTAAAATGACCTAATAACTAAACTTAACGAAAATGAATAAAAACGAGAAAAACGGATATTCTAATTGCTTAAATGAAAATTAACTAAAAAGGAATGAGAATATTGAACTACAGCTTGAAATAAAACGGTGTGAATCTATAAGGAAAGAGGCGTTGGGGTTCAGGGAAGTTTTCTCAGGGGTACGAACGATTCAAAACATTGCTAGAGAGTAAAATTGATAAGATCTTAGCTTAAACTTTTCGAACTGGAGTCACGGATCGAATCCACTGTCGTGATCATAGACAACTATCTCTCTCGACCAGTATGTTTCCACTCTGGCCCTGAAAAAGAAGAGATGCATTATGTTTAAGACTCGTCAGCATTCACAAATCGCCCATAGGTAGGTTTCCACTCCTATATTTGTTTTGCTTTCCCAAACTAGATCTGACACCGGATGAACACTTTCGTGTTACCAGGCATCTGGATCAGATTGTAGTTCATGACACTACTCTCATGCAGTAAAAACGAATTTAGAAGAAAAAGTTCTAAGATTCGGCTCAAAAGCTCATGGAATCCTCATCGAACATATAAATCCCCATCGAAAATCCCTTAATCCCAACAATAAAACTACTCAGACATGATGAACGAAATCAAAAACATAGTATTAAAAAGTATAATAGAAACCGAAATTGAAAAAGAAAGAACAAGGGATCAAGAGACAAATCTCTCTCTCCCTAAAAGCTAAAGCAAAAACAATAAGAAACATATGAGGTAATGATTCGGTTCTCCATTTTTAGGGTTCCTAAAACATGTATTTATAGTGCTCAAGACATCTCTGGACGTCACTTAGGGTTTCTTCAAATGTGGGAATCATTGTGGGCTTCAGAAATGGGCCTTTGGACTTGGAGTTGGCTGGCCGCGGTCGGGATGGCTGTGACCGCGGGGAATGGATGGCTGGTCGCGGTCGCGGTGCTTCTGACCGCGGGAAATTGCTTGTTGGCCGCGGGTGGAAACGCTTGCTGGCTGGTTTACGGGACATCTTGCTCTTCGCATATCTTTTGATTGAACCGTTGGATTGCCAAGCTGTAAATTGTGCTGGAAAGCTGATACTTCCATCTTTAAGATCTCCAAATTTGAGCTAGATCTGACGGTTAGAAGGCCTTCAATCAGGGGTGAACTTCTGACGGTTTGACTCTGAGCTGAAATCTGGTTTTCTATCCATTTTGTTAAGCTTTTCCCTAAGTTACCTGAAAAGAGTCTTGGAACTACAAATACTAGAAAAATGTAATAAAATTACTTGAAAGAATTTAGAAACATAGAAAAAAAGTATTTCAAAACGATCCATAAAAGTGGTCAAAACACGGTGTTATCACTTGGTATCCGATCGATGCCTTGCCTCGGCTCGGAAAATGTTTTAGGTTTATTGTTTAACCTTTGCTTTTGCAGTTCGCGACTTTCTTCCCCGGTGCCCTGACGATCTGTTCGAAGTTCGGGATACGCTAGCTGCCAACCAAACCCACTGGAAACGCTATTTCTCTCTGGAAAGAGTCGAACGAGCCCGGTATATTGCTGCGGGTGTTTCAGTTAGCTCCGAACTATCCAACTCATCAGGCGATACTCGCGACAAGATGGTGATGGAGACTTTCCGGGAGAGGAAGAAGAGAGAAGCTGAAGAAGCGGCAAGACAAGCCGAAGAGGCTGCTAAGAGAGGCGAGGACGATCCGAAATATGCACAGCAGGCTGGGAACGAGGCACCTGTGGTCGGCTCGGGGGACAAAGGTGACCAGAGCACTGGTCGTGGGAAGGCGAGATTGCCCACGAGGCGACCTCTAATGTTCCCGACGAGCAGAGTACCTCCGCTGGTGCGACCAAATCGGCCATCCTTGCTCTCCCGCATTCGCCGAGGCCCCCGACTTCCAAAATTGTGAAGCACAAGGCGGCGAATCGCAAGCGCTCTGCTGCAAAGAAGGGCAAAGGCGTTGTTCCCGACGAAGGTGAGCCGCTTAAGAAGAGGCAGAAGCTGTTGACGAGCCGAACCTGAAAAAGCTTGTCGAGGAGTTGTTCGAGCGTGCTGCAACAGACTTGCGGGAGAAGCTGGTTGTTTCTCCAGTATCTCTAGATTCCGTCGATTCTTGCTTGGGGACCGAACCGCTAGAGGTTACTGCAGCTTCAGTTGGAGTTACGAATCCGACCGGTTGGAACATCTACACTCCGAGGGCTACTGATCTTGCAGCCAAGGGCGTTCCTGAGCTGCGTGGAGGAGATCAGTAGTACTTTCTCTTTTCGTATTGAGCTGTACTGTGTCGTGCCTGGATAGCTTTATCCATATCTTTTGACTTATTTGTTTTTTTTGTAAACATTGTGCCTGGATGGCTTTATCCGTATCGTTTGACTATTGATCTCCTTGTTGGATTTATTCGGTAGGAATCTTATCTATCTTTCCCCTTAGTCATTGTTGCTTTTGCCTTTAGCGATTTATAAACTTTTGAGGAAACTGTCGTTGGAGCGAGCTGTCACTAATTGGTTTGTCGTGCCGGACCAAGAGTGCTTTTGTTCTCTTTCCTGGCCGAACTGTTACGAAAGATCGATAGAACACCGGATTAAGGAACAGGCTGTTTAAGTTATAGATTCTGTTTAAGTTCAAGTTGGTTTTTCTAGACATCGTATAGATTCTGTTTAAGTTAAAATCCCGAGCTAGGAGTTGCTTTGTGATGTGTCCTTGTTTAGGTAACTCTTACAAAAGAGATTAACGTTCTTTTATGCATTCGACCGTTAGTGCCAAGGCGTTGAGTTAGAGAAGAGAGAGTGCGTGACGAGACATTTTAACTTGGTTTTAGTTTCGGCCTTTTGAGGTGCTAAGTTTGGATTTCTCGTTGCCGAGGTTCACGTCCTGAGACGATATCAGAGGGATATTAGAGTTGGATTACAGACCGGTGTTCCCAAGAGGGTGAATGCGTTTGCCGGGTTTTAAGAGTTCGTTTCGGTTTTAGAGAAAGTGATGTAGTCTCGAATTATAATCTCGTGTGCGATGACGAACCGTGCCGACCGATACGTTTTTGGTCTGAAATTTGTATAGCGCGCTTGATTTTAATCCATAGAGGATGTGACTTGCACCCTCGTCCTAGGAAAGGTGGTAAAAAAGTCCATTTAGAGAACTTTGTGATTGTTGTCTCTTTGTGGCCAGCAACGAGGCGAGGTGTTTGGAACTATAGATCCGAAATTTTGCCGGAGTGAATGCGAGGACAAGTAAAAGTCTAGGAGAAGTGAAAATAAGTGAATGAGTGAATGAAAACAAGTTTCTAAAAAATTGCCGAAATGACAATAAGTGAATGAAAAATCCGAAGTAAACACAAGTGAAAAAACTAGCTGAAGTAAAATGAATGAAAAACTAGCGAAGTGAAAATAATGTAGGTATGTGTATACGTACCCACTCCCCCCCCCCTTTTTAGGAGGGAGGACAGCTCAACCCGTCCGAGGACGGGCTGCCTAGGTACCCTTTGCAGGGATCAAGCCGTCTCGTTGTTCATATTGACCGTGTTGTAGTCTTAGTGGTAATACTTCTTTAGGTGCATTTCGTTCCACGATCTTGGAATTGCTTCGTCAGATACCGTCGCAAGTTCATAGACTACTGGGCGAACTACTTTTGTAATCTTGTAAGGGTCTTCCCAATTTGCTCCGAGCTTTCCTGCATTCCTCTCGGCAGTGTTTTGGAACACTTTTCGAAGGGCGAGCTCTCCTTCTTTAAATCTTCGGCTTCGGACATTTTCGTTGTAGTATCTCGCCGTTGCTTGTTGGTAGTTCTGGACTCAGATTAGAGTCTGGTTGCACCTTTCGTTGATTAAGTCGAGCTCATCCAGCACCATTAAGTGATTCAAGCCCTCCTGTCCTGGCAGAGGTCTTCGTCGAATTCCTGGGAAATCCACCTGGGGGGGATTACACACTCTGTTCTATAGACGAGAGCGAATGAAGTTTCTCCAGTGGCTCGGTGCGGGAGTCGTCTGATGCGACCAAAGGAATCCTTCGAGTTCGTCTGCCCATCGTCCTTTCTTGGCGTCGAGTCTCTTTTTCAGGCCGTGTAGGATCGTCTTGTTAGCTGCGTCGGCTTGTCCATTCTCCTGGGGATATCTCGGCGTAGATTTGCTCAGACGAATTTTCCATTTCTCGCAGAAACCTTCGAAGCGAGTTGAGATGAACTGGGATCCGTTGTCGGTGACTATCTCATAGGGGACCCCGTGTCGGCAGATGATATTTTTCCAGACGAAGTGTTCGACTTGAGCGTCCTTTATGCTTGCGTTGGAATCGGCCTCGACCCATTTAGAAAAATAATCTGTAAGGACGAGCAGAAAACGCTTCTGCTTCGATCGATGTAAAAGCCCGACTATATCCATCGACCATCTCATGAAGGGATAAGGTGACGAAATTGACGATAACAGCTCGGTAGGTTGATGGATTGTAGGCGCGTGCCGTTGACACTTCTCGCACTTTGCCGTAAATTTCTCACAATCCTCCACCTTCGTAGGCCAGAAGTAACCATGCTGTTTTATTTTGACCACAAGTGACCTTCTGCTAAAGTGATTTCCACACGCGCCGCTGTGCACCTCGTGCATTATCTTTCTTGCTTCCGGTCCCTCGACACACGTCATTAGCGGTCCTGAAAATCTCCATTTGAACACTTTTCCGTCGACAAGGACGTATCGTGCGGCTTGAGCCCTTAATTTGCGGGTTTCTCACTTGTTGGATGGTACTTCTCCATCGCCGATGTAGACTCGGATAGCTCCGAGCCATTCTTTGTCGCAGCCGTACTCCAGCTCGGTTAGCGAGGCGTCTTCTTCTATAGCGATTGCTTCGCCGTTCTCTGGTTCTTCCTCGGGAGGATTGATCAGCCGAGCTCCTTCTACCTACTCTATGCTTGGATGTTCGATGAATTTGACTGGAATTGTTTGACGGAGATCCGGGTCTGAGGTTGAAGCAAGTGCTGCTAAGGCGTCCGTCGAGGCGTTTTCGCCTCGGGGTATTCGTGTGAGTTCGAACTCGTCAAACTTTCGTACCAAATCTTGGACTACTCTAAGGTAAGCTCCCATTCTTCCATCCTTCACCTTGTACTCTCCGTTAAATTTATATGCTACGAGCTGTGAATCGAAAAAGGCTCTTATTTTCCGAACATTGATTCCCTGCGCTAGTCGTAGGCCAGCGATCTGTGCTTCGTACTCTGCTTTGTTGTTCGAGGCGTGGAAGTTCAGGCGAAAAGAGTGCTTTAATATTTCTCCGGTGGGAGAAGTGAGACGGATTCCTATTCCCGAGCCGTGTTTAGATGACGAGCCGTCGACATACAGCGTCCAAACATCGTCTGGAGTTGGCTCGATTGTCGCCTCGGTCGGAAGTTCGATGAGAAAATCTGCGAACATCTTATTGACGAGCCGTTGATATGTTGCCCCCGCGTTTTTGAATACAAACGGCATGACTTTGTAGCAATAGATCCCGCGATTGGTTATGAACACCGTTTTTTCTCTATCATCGAGATGCATCAGAATTTGGTTGTAACCTGAAAACGCATCCATGAACGTCAACAACCTATTTCCTGCAGTGGATTCGACGAGCCGATCGATGTGCGGTAAAGGAAAACTGTCTTTTGGGCAAGCCTTGTTGAGATCTGTGAAGTCTACACAGACTCGCTACTTTCCGTTCTTCTTCTTCACGACCACCGGATTTGCGAGCCAGTCCAGGTACTTTGCCTCGGCGATTGATCCTACTTTGAGCAGTCTTTCTACTTCATCGTTAACAGCTTTAGCTCGTTCGGGACCGAGCTTCCTTCTTTTTTGCTTGACTGGTTTGAAGGTTGGGTCCCCGTTCAGCTCGTGACAGGTCACGTCGATGCTTAGGCCTGGCATATCCTCCGCTGTCCAGGCAAAGGTGTTGATATTCTCCTTGAGGAAGGAGAAGAGCTCATTTTTCAAAGGTTCTTCTTGCTTAGTTCCGATCTTGACGTGTGATATATTCATAATTTGTCATATTTAGGATTGCATTTTTTGTCCAAAGATTTAGTCTCATGCATACATTTAGCTAGTTTTGTTAGAGTTTGTCCCTGGTTCTAGCTTTGTTTAGGATTTGCATTAGGTCCTAGAGTGTCCTGCATTTTTGGAGTGTTCTCAAATCATGTGGAGACTTTTTGGAGACTTTTTGGAGCAACTTGGAGCTGGGATCATGGAGGAACCTTGGCCTGTGTGCAGCAACTCGGACAGATGGTTTGATGCACACAAAACCCTCACTTTGATCGTGTGGGACGAAGGACCTGCAATGCGATTAAATCTCTGGTGTCTTCATCAAGAATCAATAGAATTACGTTTAGTTTCCGGAACACTTGAGATCATCCTGTTTGGAGATGTGAGCAGAGAGTTAAGCTCGTCGGAAGGCACGCTTGTCTTGCTGCCATTTTAGACCGACCCGACGAGCTACAAAGATTGCGAAGGACGATGCCTTTCCAGACCGATTCCGTCTACAGGGCCTTCATCAAGATTCGAGATAATTGAGTCCTCTTTCCAGAACAGTTGAGATCGTTCCATTTGGAGTTGTGAGGCGTGAGTTCCGGAAGAATAGAGACACACCTATCCTTCGAGCACCAAGAGCGTGGAAATTGTGCTAAGTGTAAGGATGGCGCGGTGGAATCGGGAATTGACACGATCTTTGGGGTTTGACACGGTCTCCACACCACGGTCTTCGAGCACTTGATTGCAGTTCTTTGGGGTTTGACACGGTCTCCATACCACGGTCTACACTTGACCGTGGCAAGATAACACTTGGCCGCGGCAGGATCATACGTGCATTCGAGAATTGCCACGAGGTAATGCCACGGTCTACACTTGACCGTGGCAAGACAACACTTGGGATCCTTCAAATATTCGGGACTTGACACGGTCACGCATCACGACTTTGGACTTGGCCGTGGCAACTTGATGCAATTCTTCAGCATTTGACACGGCCATGCATCACGACTTTGGATTTGGCCATGACAACTTTATGCAATCCTTCGGCATTTGACACGGCCATGCATCCCGATCAGAGGGAACCCGTGGCACCAAAATTCATCCAAGAACAGAAGCTTCGGGACTAGACACGGTCACTTGCCACGGCTTGACCAAGAACTGCTAGACCGTGGCAAACCTCATCTTTACCCACCAAAGCCGGGTCAGTACCCGGTGACCCGGTTCATCCAAGACTACTATAAATACTTTTTAGACCTAATTTGGAGAGAACCTTATCTTATCCTTAGTCTCCGTTTCCTTTTTGGTGAAAGAACCATTGTCTAATACTTTGTTTTTAGTTTAATATCGATTTGAAGAGTGTTTTCCATCTTGTTTTATCATTTCTCATCATCAAATCACACATCTAATCATAATTAACAACACATCTTGCAAAGGATCTAGTGTGTTGATCATGATTAGTGAGTAATCCCCATATTAAGTTCTTAGATATGTAGATTAGGGTGCTTAGGTGGTAGATTAGTGAGCTTAGGGGTTAGATCATGCATATTCCATTCTCTACAACCTGTTATTAATGCTAGATCCATACAAATCATATGTGGTCTAGACTCTGGGCATTTCATGCACCAAAAGTGTTTGATGAAATGCCTGAACTAAGGTTGTTAGAGGTTTAAGTGTTATTCATCATGGGAATGATTGTTTATAAGATTAAACTGGTTCTTAATGCTTGTTAATTCATGTTTCACTAATGATGATTAGGTTAGAAACTGTTTTAGCATAGAAGTTGATACCTTCATGAGAGTATTAACTTGATTAATGAAGTTTAAGTTGAATGGTTTGCCTGATTACATGATTCGTTAGCTCACTAGTTTAACACTGAAGGCACCCTAATCCACTATCATGTCTAAGACCTTTCTCATCATCATACATACATTCTCATTTCATTTAGCCTACTTGTTTGTTTGTCTTTGTTTGATAACTTCTTTAGTCATTAATCCTGTTTAAGTTTTTAGTTGTCACTAATCAATCAAAACCTCACATGTTTACTTGACTTGAGAAATTGATCACATAGCTTAGTGTCTATCACCACATTCTTGGATTGACAACCTCTTTTATGCTACTTTGACAAGGGGATTGATAGCCCTGAGACCTAAAAAGTCTTGTCTATCAATTGGCGCCGTTGCCAAATTGTGGAGTGTTTAACATTAAGTTCTGATCTGTTCTTGAGATCAAGTACTTATTTTTTTTGTTTTTTACTGATTATTTTCAAGTTCTGTTTGTGATTTCAGGTGCATGAACACCAGGTCCAGATCAAGAAGCTGTGGTCCACTTTTCCCCTTAAACGACAACATTAATCTTTTGGTACCAAGGAGGAGAAGGGACAGGCGTGGAAGACAGATTGATCAGGCTGATATGGGAGATCAAAGAGAGCATGTGGTTGACATGGAACAACCGGCTCAGGAGTAACAGGCTCAGGGTAATGGAGCTGGTAATGGAGCTGGTAATGCAGCTGGTAATGGAGTTGGTCAAGGGTTACATCAGGGTAATGTTCATCAGAAACAGGTGCATCAACAGCAAGCTTATGTCCACCAGGGACAAGCTCCAGCACATCAGCAGAGGCATCAGGCCAATGTACAAGAAAGACAACAGGTGCACCACCAACATCAGCCCTTCCAACACCAGCAAAGGAGATATGAGCACCCACAGGTCTATGTTGGAGAAAATGACAGGGCAAATGCTCATCAGTATGGAGCTGGAATTCAGGCACCACCTGTGCAAAACAACAACTTTGAAGTGAAGGCATCCTTGTTGAATATGGTCCAGAACTCAAAGTTCCATGGATTAGCAAATGGAAGATCCCTTGGAACACTTGGATCAATTTGATAAAGTGTGTGACCTGACCAAGATAAATGGAGTTTCTGAAGACAGTTTCAAGCTAAGATTATTCCCCTTCAGTCTTGGTGACAAAGCTCACCAATGAGAGAAGAATCTTCTAAGAGGCTCCATTCAAACCTAGGAGCAATGCAAGCAGGCCTTTCTATCTAAGTTCTTCTCCACCTCCAGAACTGCTAAACTGAGAAACCAAATCTCTAGCTTCACTCAGTACAGCAATAAGAGTTTTGGTGAAGCATATGAGAGATTCAGGAGCTACACAAACCAATGCCCACACCATGGGTTTAGTGAGACTTCTCTTCTCAGCACAATTTATAGAGGAGCTCTTCCCAAGATTAGAAACCAGCTGGATACTGCCTCCAATGGAAACTTTCTGGGAAAGGAGATTCATGCTGCTTTAGAGCTAGTGGAGAACTTAGCAATGAGCAATGACACTTATCGTGAAGACTATGACATATCAAATAGATCAGAAGGTTCCAGCTCTGAACAGAGGCTCAGTAGAGAAGTTAAGGAGTTGAGGAGTGAATTGGACAAGTTGAAATTGGTTTCTCACAAACCAATTCATTATGTTGGTGAATATGATGATTCTCCAAACTTTGAGAACATCAATTAAGAAGGCTTGACACAGGAGGAGTTGAACTACATTGGGAACCAAAACAGATTCCAAAGGTTCAACAACTACAATGCCAACAACAACCTGTCTTATAGAAGCAACAATGTGGCAAACCCACAAGACCAAGTTTATCCTCCTCAACAAGGTTTTTCGCCTAAACCTCAATTTCAAAGCTCTTACCAGTCTAAGCCACAATTCAGCCAAGCTCAGAATCACAGTTTTGGTCAGTAACAGCAACCATTTCAGGGTACTGGTTTCAGTTCACAGCAACAGCAAAAGGCACCACCATGGTTTGGTCCACCACAGTTCCAGCAGCAAGCGCCGGTTCAACACCAGTTTCAGCCACCACCGGTTCAGCAGCAGCCACAGATGGGGTCAGATATGGTTGGGATTCTGCAACAACTGCTTCAAGGTCAACAGATATTTGCAAGCCAGAATGCAGCCATGCAGCAGGAAATCAAGGAATTAAAGCAAAACCAGGCCTCAAGCTCAAGGAACCAAGGCCATCTACCTGGAAAACCTGAACCCAACCCCAAGGAATATGCTAAAGCCATTACACTGAGAAGTGGAAAGGAGCTACCTGGTATTGAGAACAACAATGTGATCATTGAGGACAATGATCAAACTGAGGGGGAGGCAGCCTTAAAAGATGATCAAGTTGCTGAGAAATCAAAGAAAGAAAAGGGTAAAGAGGTAGAAAAGGAACCTGAACCAGAAAAGATATATGTGCCACCACCTCCATACCAACCCAAGCTCCCATTTCCAGGGAGATGTAAGAAGCAACTTGTAGACAAGGCAAGAGCTGTATTTGAGAAGGCACTCAATGAGACACCACTCACAATGCCTCTCATTGATGCATTCTAATGATGCCAAAGATGGGTAAGTTTTTGAAGGATGCCATTCTGAACAAGACTAAAGAGTTTCAAGGCATGGTGGTACTAAGTCATGAATGCAGTGCTATCATTCAGAAGAAGTCCATTCCAAGAAAGTTGACTGATCCAGGGAGTTTCACACTCCCTTGTGCCATTGGACCTCTACTATTCTCTGGATGTCTTTGTGATCTGGGAGCATCTGT